AAATTATAATAATTTTTTTAAGAATAATTTTTTTTCCATTTTATTATTTTTAAAGGCTAGAATTGGGATTGAAAACTTTGCCTTTTCGCTCCAATAGAATGGCAGCAGGGAGTCAATAGACAGTCATTTCACATTTTGGGTAGCGGTTACTACTTAGGCTGCCGTACATTTCAGATCATTTACGTTGTTGCATGCCAAGAGGCTATTGTTCTGTGCTATTTCTAGTTTTTAAACTTCTCCAAAGTACTTTTTGCGCGCTCTCTTGGATCACGATCGTAAAGCCCCGACGACCATAAAACAATGAACTCCCCCTTTCCGGCAGACAATTCAAATAGAAAAGCCTCTTTTCACGTCTCAGTGTACTTCTTCTATATTTCAACTACTACTGAGTGCAATAACGATTGCTTTAAGTGCATTTCGATTACTTAAACAAACTGAATGACCTCGTCGTATGAAAGATTTAAGAAAATCTATAAGAACAGAGTGGAGTTGATGAACGGTAGATTTGTCGTTCGAGAGTGTCTTCACTTGTCACCATGTCATTGTGACCAGCTGTGCTTTCCTTGTGTATGTTCAAAGATGTAGAGAGGACACGACTACAGGACACATGCACATGATCAGCTATAATGCGGTAAAAAATTCGTGGCGCACTTTTTTGTTAAATATCTCCTCAACTAATGAACATAAAGCCTCAAGCTCTTGCACAATGACTTGTATCAATTTGTCTAACAAATCAATATTTATTAAATTAAATGTTTGTGAGAAGCGGGAAGTGCTGTGAACAATCCTATTTTCCGCGTTACGGAGATTTGTAGTATTTTATATAAAATTGTGAAGAAAAGTTTTAAAAAATCTAACTTAAGTTGTTGAGGAAAAATTTGACAAATTGATACCAACCCCTGACCTGTGCAAAGTATGGGTGATACTGATTCACCCATTAAACAGACATTTGAGGAAAAGTTGCGCTACGAATTTAAAAGTGCACTGTAGAATCTACGTTCAGGCTACTCTAGACGTTGAAGCTTTGTTTATCATCAAAACCATTTCAATGAACAGTGAAATTAAAGCACATGTACTAATATATTTGATCAAAAGCAGAGTTTTTATTGAAAACATTCTCATTCGTACTGTCGTGCTTGGTTTGACATGAAAGTGTGTCTGCTGGTCTCTCCTCGCTACATATTATTAGTTCAAGAATAATCAAGAACCCCCCCTCCCTTTCCCCTCTTCTGTCTTTTCCTGAATATGCCCCGTCCCTACCCACCCACACACACACACACACACAAACGTACGCAAACCCTTGAAATAGACCCAACCACATAGGCCCCTATCTACAAAATCTGATTGTGTAGGAAAAGAAAACGCAGTAGACCAAAGATTGATTAAATCAGAGCGTAGAGGCTCGTCGAAATGAGACAATAAATTTCTCCCCCCTAAGCAATTT